GGTTTCAATAATATGCTTCAAAGAGGTGATATTAGTAAATTGTATACGTAAGTACCTACATTTGTGATACATACCAATTTTGCTAATTTGGCAACGGTAGAGGAATAATAAAAGGAAGACATCGTCTTTTAAAAATTATTTATTTTAGAGACACAAAGAGAGAGAGAGAGAGAGGCAGAGTTCACACCTGCTGATATGTTTCCCAGATAACCCCCAAATCCCTTGTTGGGAGTGTAGTCAGGAGGCAGCAACTCAGTGCATGTTTTTTGTGTTGGTGGCAGTGGAGCCCAGTAACTTACGTCATCACCTCTGTGCCTGCCTAACTGTGGAAGTTCTGCAGTTGCAGGACCCTGGAGTCAGGAGCTGAGATAAATACTGAATCGAGGTACTCTGATGATTAGACCAAACACCTGCCACAGGGAAAAAAAAAACACTTTGTTATGGTATAAAAAGAAATAAAATTACCTTGATCACTTTGAAAGTATACTCAGCAAGCTCAGATTTTTTTTTAATGTTTGTTTGTTTGAAAGATAGCGTTACAGAGAGAACGGGAGACACAGAGGGAGATCTTCCATTCTCTGTTTCATTCTCTAAATAGCCACAACTTCCATAGATGGGTCAGGCCGAAATTTCATCCAGGTCTCCCACATGACTAACAGAGGCTCAAACCTTTAGGCCACCCTCTGCTACCCTCCCAAGCACATTATCAGGGAGCTGGATCAGAAGAGGAACAGCTAGAACTTGAACAAACATCTTAAGTGGGATGTTGGCATTTCAGATGATGGCTTAACATGCTACACCACAATGTTGGCTCCAGCAAGTTCAGTTTTAACTCTGTGGTGAATGTGCTTGAGATATCTTAACAGATAATTCATGAAGATTTTCTCATAGTCTTTTTTTAAAATTTTATTTTTAATGTTTATCGTTGAGATGGATGCAAACCCATGTGGACCACCGATTAGAGTGGGAATAGTCAAGGATTAGGGGAAAGAGGATGAGACTGTTGGTTCCAAATTTTCTTTTTATTCTTCCTGTTTCTGGGGGAAAGGAGAGAAGGGAAGAAGCCACATTCAACATCCCAACCACATTAGTACCTGGGGATGGGGAATGGCTATCCAATGTCATCCCATCGTCCCTGATGTGGAGCATGCTCTGAGAGTTCTGCTCAAGTAGTTTTGATAGTTCTGTAATGCTATTGATCTTGTTGATCCAAGGATGAAGAAATCCTTCCAAGGTCCATTGAAAAGGAATCCATTCTTCATGTGTTTTTTTAAAAACAGATTTATGTGTTGATCTACTTGAAAGGGAGGAAAAAGAGAAGGAGAAGAGAGGGCAGAAGGGATCGGGGATGTCCATCTGCTGGTTCATTCCTCAACTTGCTGTCAAAGTCACATCTCTCTCAAGTTGAAGCAAAGTCAGGAACTGCATATGTACAGCAGATTGGTCTAAACTGTCCCACATCCCATTCAGCTCTTGTGCACATCAATGGGTGTTGAGGCCTAGCTTAACCCAACTTACCCCACTATCCAGCTTGCATTATATCTGCGGGTGTCACCACCTATCTAACCAGGCCCACCCTCAGCCCTGGTTTCCATACTCATCAGTAGGAGTTACAGCACATCAAAGAGGTAACCATAGTTTGCCCAATAGGCCACTCCTAACCTCAGATCTTTCATTCTTCAGGTGATTCCTCAGTCTAGCATGACATGGCAAGTCCCAGCACTTGCCACCTGATACTGTGGCAAAGCCTAACCTGTCTGCACTTACTGTGGCTCATGCATGTACTGGTGGATACAGTTGGTTAGCTCATCCTGGCTCTCCCCCCAACCCAGTTCACATGCAGGCCAACAGGTGTTATTGCCCTGTTCATCCTTGTCAGCCTCCTGTCCCAGTTCTCACGCTCACTGATGGGAGCAGTGGCCTGGCAGGGAAGCCCACGCTGCTCCCATACCTGGCTTGTACCCGACCCCCCAGTCTCATGTGTATGGTTGGGTGCTGTGGCCCAGTCTGGCATGGCCAACACACCTTGGTATTTGCCTGTGGGTACTGTAGCCTGGCTCGTCCCAGTCTGCCCCCAGTTTCAGTTCATGCTTTTGGGTGTTGCAGCCTAGCCAGGCCTGGCCATCTCTCAGTCCTGGCCCAAATGTGAACTGGCTAGTACTGTAGCCCAATTTGGCATGTTTTGTGCCCCATTCTGGTTTCAAATCTGCCAGTGGGTGTTATGAACTGACTCAGCATCACCTGCAACCAGACCTGACTCACATGTATGCTGGCAGCTGCTGTAACGCAGCCTGGTCTGTGTTGCTCCCAGACTTGGTTCTTGCGCTCTCCTGCAGGGACTGCATCCTGACAGAGGCACTTGGTCTTCTCCCATTGGTATATCTTGCACACATCAGTGAGTTCTTGGCCTACCCTGATTTGGCCCATCTCATGTACTGATGGGAGCAGTGGCTTTACCCAAGCTACCTACACCCATTCCAGTTCTTACTGTTGGATGTTACAGCCTAGCCCCACCTGGTCTACTCCCAGCCACAGCTCTCGCACGGTTCAATGGGTGCTGATGCCAACCCAGCCTATCCTACACCAACTTTGGTTCTTATGGGTACCAGTGGGTGCTGGAGTCTGGCCCAGTCCGATAAATCTCAGACCCAGTCCATACCCATGCTGAGGGACACTTCAGCCATGTACAGCCCATACCGCGTCTCTGTTCTGGCTTTCGTGCTCACCAGTGGGAATGACAGCCCAGCCAATGCATTCTTTTAGCTCCCCAACCAGTCCTGTTCCCAGCCACAGATCTTATATGTGCCAATGGTTGCTTTGACACAGTTCAGCATAGCCCATGCCCCATCTTGGTCTTTGCCATTGGATGCTGTGGCTTGGTCTGGTGTCCCAACTCTCACTGGTGGGTGCCGTAACCTAGCTGTGCCCACCCAGTCTGCCCCCATTCCTGGCTCATATACACTGGTAGGTGTGATAGCCTAGCCCAGCATGGCCTGCACTTTTTCCTGGTTCCTGCATATGCCAGTGTGCTAAGGTTTGGCCCAGTTCTGCCTGGTTCTCCCTCCACCCCCAAGAACAAACCCCTCCACTTGCTGCCTTGCCCGAGTTGACCAACACCCAGGCCTGAATCACATTTTCACCAATGGGAACTGCATCCCACCTGGATTTCTAAGATATTTGCCAATATAAAATTTTGAGATTTGTTGTTTAAAAATTATAATTATATATATACACACACACATTATTCACTTAGTTATTTTTGACTTTCTCCATTGAAAAGGAATCTATTCTTCATGTGGTTTTTTTAAAAACAGATTTATGTATTAATTTACTTGAAAGGGAGGAGGAAGAGAGGGTGGAAGGGATCAGGGACATCCATCTGCTGGTTCACTCCCCAACTTGCTGTCAAAGTCACATCTCTCTGAAGCTGAAGCAAAGTCAGGAACTGTATCCAGGTCGCCCACATGGATGACTGGAACCAAAGTACTTGGGCCACCTCTTGCGTTTCCAGGCCTATTAGTGGGAAATTAGACTAGAGGTAGAGCAGCCAGGACTCAAATTGACATTCTAAAATGGAATGCTAGCTTTGCAAACAGTTGTTTAATGTACTGTATCTCAATGTTCTCTCTCTGTGTGTGTGTGTATTTAAATACGATTTAGTATGTTCATTTGAAAGGCAGAGTTAAAGTGGGAAAGTGCGCACACACACACACACACACACACACACACACACACACACATGACAAGAGAGAGATTGTCACTGGCAGTGGCACAAACATTTGGGCCATCTTTTGCTGCTTTTCCCAGGCCATTAGCAGGGAGCTGAATTGAAAATGGAGCAGTCAGGACATAAACTGGCACCTATATGGGATGTCAGTTTTATAGGTGGCAGATTAAACCTGATATGCCACAATGCCCATACCAAAAGACAAGTTTATTTTGAAGTGAAAACTTATGCAGGCTAAAAAATACTTATCTATAATTGTATCTAACTTCATAATTACTACACTGAAAAACAATTTTGCTCAGTTTTTGCTTCTTCTGTTTCAGAAGGTTAGGTTGTTAGAGAATTGAATTATAGCCTGCCTTGTATCTGGAAGACAGGATTTTTTTTTCCTAAGTCATTGTGTCTAAGGATGATAAGTATAGTAAGAATTTTCTCAAATTTAATACTCTTCTGTAGCAATTTGATTTTCATGAAGCAAATTATAGGAAATTTTGCATTTTTTTAGAGGATGGATCACTAAAGATCCTAATGTTTTGGTAAAAATTAATTTTAGTTATATATTTGGAAGTAGTTTGCTACTGTTATCTCTGAAATGCAAGAGAAAGGGAGAATCACACATTTTAATTCAATTTTCATTCAGAAGTTACAGTTCTGAATAGATTATTAAGATAGTCACTTTGCAAACAGGATATATTTGCAGTCTATGGAGATTCTGTCTTTATCACTGCTCTTCTGAGACCACTATTCTTTGCCTTATAATATGCACATCCTTTTAAAGGCAGCTTTGTTTTCCAGTTGTATCCTAGGAGGATGCTCATGACAAAAGCATATGAGAATTGGAAGCACGTTTTTTGCGGGGGTGGGATTTGAAGAGTATAGATACTTTCAACTAGATGACACTAGTTTTGAGTTTCACATGGGGAGATTATAAGTGCAATTTTAAAAATCTAGATGAAAATCTATATAGTTTATGTTAAAAAGAGCATTAGTGATAATGATGTTGAATGTTGTTAATACCACAACTGTATGCTTAAAATGGTTAAAGTATAAGTTCTATTCATGTATGTTTTACCCTAGTTTTAGAAAAGAACACTTCTTATGTAAATATCTCACACTGAAGTTGAGAAATTTTACGGGAACATCTGTATGAAAAGAACAGGATATATTGGCTTTAATATGTTGATTTGTATTTTCGGTCAAAAGCCATATAGAGCTATATATATATTTGCACATCTCACTCTTTTTCTAATGTGGAATTAATTTTTTTTTATAGGAAGGAAAAGCTGATGCGATGCTCTCAGTGCCGAGTTGCCAAGTACTGTAGTGCAAAGTGTCAGGTAAGACTGCTCAGCTGTTGGGCCTAGAGTGATAATCTAATGGCTAAATCCTCAGGTTGCTTTCACCGGGATCCCATATGGGTGCTGGTTTGTGTCGTGCCTGCTCCACTTCCCATCCAGCTCCCTGCTAGGGGTCTGGGAAAGCAGTAGAGGATGGCCCAAAGCTTTGGGACCCTGCATCCTTCTTGGAGACCCAGCTGAGGCTCCTGGCTCCTGATTTTGGATCAGCTCAGATCTGGTCATTGTGGAGTGAACAAGTGGACAGAAGACCTTTCTCTGTGTAAGTCTCACTTCTCAAAACAAATTTAAAAACAAATACTGCTCTGCTATGTGTAAGATAAATTTTCAAATTACTGACTTTTTAAAAAGATTTTTTATTTTTATTTGAAAGTCAAAGTTACAGAGAGGAGAGACACACAGATTTTTCATCTGTTGATTCGCTTCCCAGATGGCTTCAATGGCTGGAACTGTGTTGGTACAAAGATAGGAGCCTAGAGCTTCCTCTGGATCTCCCATATGGGTGCAGGGGCCTAAGGACTTGGTTCATCCTCCATTGCTTTCTTAGGCCATAAGCAGAGAGTTGGATGGGAAGTGGAGTAGGCAGGACTTGAGCTGGAGCCTATATGGGATGCTGGTTCTGCAGGTGGAGGATTAACTTGCTGTGCCACAATGCTTTCCCCAAATTATTTACTCTTACCTTCCATAATGCCTTATAGTCTATTTTCATTCTTTGAATTTTTGACTTATTTTTACTTGTTGTTTTTCCTTAGTTTTAATATTAATATATGGTATAGGGTAGGAAGTTCTAGTTTCTGCATGAAAGGAAATATCTACTGTCCATCTTCTTGCCCTTGACCTCCTATCCACGTGTCTTTGCCAGTACTTCCTATGTAAGCACATTACCTATATCCTCTGTTTAAAAAACAGAGAATATGTTCTTCTTGCATGAATTTGCATATGTCTTATTTGTGTTTTGCTATTATCCCTTGATTTATTTAGAGGGCTATTATGTATCATCTATTCACAGTAGTCATGATTTCCCATTTAACGCATGGTTATGCATTTTCAGTATTTTCCATTGCCGTAACCAACAATATCAGATTTAGGCCAGAGAGGGCCGCTCAAATAAGGCAGAGAATCTTGAACAGTTTATCTTTTGAAGCTTCTTATTCAGAGGCTCCAAAATAGCTTATCTTGCAACAGTGCTTTGGAAAAGATAATTTCTTCAGGGAACTACCTTCCTATTGTATCCTTCATTGTCATAGTAAGTAAAGCTTTCACCTTAGCGACTCTGACTGGAGGCTAAATGGTGAGACTCTGTGTGAATGGAATTCTTTGTGTCCACTAACACACTAGTAATGCACCCAGAATCTATTTAGCAATTATTTTTATAAATATTTATTATTTTCTTTATTTGAAAAATAGTGTTGCAAAGAGAGAAAAAGAGAGAGAGAGAGAGAAAGAAAGAAAGACATTTTCCATCTGCTCATTCACTCCCAGGTGGCCACAACAATTGATGCTGGGCCAAGGAACTTAATCTATGTTTCTCACATGGGTGCAGGGGCCCAAAGTACTTGAGCACTTGAGCCATTTTTTTTTTTCACTTTTCCCCAGCACATTAGTAGGGAGTGGCATCAGAAGTGGAGCAGCTGGAACTTGAACTGGCACTGATAGGGAATGCTGGCATTACAGTAGGCAGTTTTGCCCTTTGTGCCACAATGTTGGCCCAACCAATATTAATTTATCCACATTTTATGCATGGCTGCAGCCTAATTGTTGAGTAAGTTCTTCCTAATCATGTTAGTGAAGGGATATGAAGGGTATTTAGAAAGGTCATGGAGGGGTCTTTTTTTTCCCCACTTTTCCTCCTGCCACTATGGCAGAGGACTTGGGTCTTTTCTATCTCAAAGCCCCCTCCCGTTATTAGGATGGGAGCCTTCTTTCTCAGCTTTTCTAATAAACCTTGGTTTAAAACTAAAAAAAACCCAAAAAACCGAAAAACAAAAAAAAGGTCATGGGCATGAATATTTTGAAAAGATTATGAATTTAAAAAATTTACACTAAAATAAAAAATTTGTACTATTCATTTTATTTTCTGTTAATTTTTTGAGGTAAGATTTTATATATACATTTTGAATTTTTGATGACCATGTCAGATTGCCTGCTAAGAATTTGAGGTAATTTACAAGTACCATTAATGCATTCTGAATTCCTTAAAGGATGTATAATTAACAGTTAGCATGACCTTTTCTTCAAACTTATGATTAGCCATTTAGTAAAAAATGTAATCATACTCTAATGAATTATATTACAAATTCTAATTGGAGGCTTTGTGTCTGTGTTACCTTCTCCTCACCATTCACCCATTCTTTTTGTTGCTTGTTTTGTGTGTGTGTGTGTGTGTATTTGTACACTTACCCAAAGTTCCTTCTTTTCCATTTAAACAGTGTGTGTTGTAGTAATTGTCTAGCTCATGTTCTTCTTTTAAAGAACAGTGTATAAATGGAATTATTTCTTAAAAATAATTGTTTGTTCATTTGAGAGATAGAGTGACAGGGTAGGGAGGAGAGAAGAGAGAAGAAAAAGTAAGAATGAATGAATTTACCATTTACTGGTTCACTTCCCAAATGGGCCCATTGACTGAGCTGAGTAGGGCTGCAGCTCACTCTTGGTCTTCCTCAAGGGTGGCAGGGCCTAGGTACTTGGGCCATCATCTGTTGTCTGCTCAGCCAAATTATAAAGGAAGTGGATTGGAAGCTGAGCATTTGGAACTCAAACTGCCCATGGGATATTGACATTGTCTGCTGTAGCATAATACCAGCACAAAACTAAGTAAGTTCTATATGAAAGAAAAAAATATAAAAAATTATGAGTGATTCCAGGTCTTAATGCTAATTCTCCAATTTGTGAATTAAACAATATCAAGGAAAACAAGCTCTTTCTAAATTTTATGTAATAATAAGAGCTAATTGTTTATTTGCTCACTTACTTTGTTTTAGGGACTTGTTTATCCCATTTACTTCTGCAAAAATCATGTGAGAATTTGGTACTATTATTTGGTGCTAATAAGGAATCTGACAATAGAGAGGCTGGAAACTTCCCAAATGTTATAATTATTGATTTTGGAGTTTGGAAAATAACCCCACATACTCAGCTTCCAGACTTTCAGGTTATGAACCCATATTTTGTTCTTGCTCTAACATTCTGATTAGCTCTAGGTTTTTTTCCTTTCTTTTTTTATTTTTTAAGACTTATTATTTGAAAGGTGAAGTTAGAGAAAAGCAACAGAAATCTTCCATCTGCTGGTTCCCTCCCAAAATGGTTCCAAGCACTGGAGCTGGGCTGTCTGAAGCCAGTAAGCAGGAGCTTCTTCAGGTCTCCCACCTGAGTGCAGGGGCCCAAATGCTGGGCCATGTCCCACTGTTTTCCCAGGTGCATTAGCAGGGAGCTGATTGGAAGTGAGCTGCTGGGACTTGAGTAGGCACCCACGTGGGATTCTAGTTTTCCCAGTGGAAACTTTGGCTTTACCTGCCATGCCATAATGCTGGCCGAGGGTTAGCTTTTTAATCATCTTTTATATTCTTTCATTTTCTGATTTTTTAATAAAGATGTATTTTCAAGGAACAAAAAAGAAAAAACAATTTTTAGATGAAAGGTTAATAATAATACCTTTCAAATAAAGTTGAGGGAATTTAAAAATTACTGAGTTATTTTTCTCTCATTTTGTAAATCAAATATTCCACCGAAATGAGCAAGATTCCAGATTTACATAAGAACTTGAAACAATAACAAAAATTAATAAAAAATAATAACAAAAAAAAAAGCAGAGCAAATGCCAGCAAATTTTAGAATGGCTGTCAACTGGTGATGTCTTAGCTATTTTATTCATGTGGAACTAAGCCCACTTTGGATTAAGCAGAATACATGTAGAACTAATAAATTATCATATTATTTGAAAATAATATTTTACATGTGCTTTCTTTGTTATTGCAATGACTTAAACATTTCTTTTACTTTTCCCTATTTTTATGAATATTCAAGCTTTTTTCCACTGCTTCTTCCCATTTTTGTAGTATACTAAAGGGGAAAAAGCCATTATCTGATTAGAATGAGTGCAGGGAATTTGGCAAGTAGGTATGTCATTTTGATTCATTATAGGGCATGTATTTTTACCACATAAGTGAGCTTTATACTGTCTGACCAGTAATAATGTCATTGTTAGATATACTGTGGTAGGTAATGGGAAAATAGAAAGATGAAAGCTATACACAATGTCAGTTGGAGTGTGAGTGCTGGGGGTTTGGGTGAGTGTAGAGGTAAGAGTCAGAGATTGCCTGAAGCATATGCATTTAAACTGCTCTGTTTACCTCAACTGTAAGCTACAACAGTTAACATTGCAATTATGCTGTGTGTCTATAATGCAGCCCAAAATTATACTGGCCAACTGGACTATGAGCAGTAGTGAACCAGAAGCTAAAGAAATAGGTGGCATGTGCATTTGACGCATAAAATCTAAAACACGGGGGATATGTTGGCTCACTTGCTCTACCCTTGGTACTGGGGCTGTGCTCATCAGTGAATTGTTTGAAAGAGGCTGCTGGAGTAGTTCAGAGTGTAATAAGTCCATTATGCCCTTAGGAGGTGCCATTGACATTCACATTTCATTTGTAAATATAAGCAATGCAAGGGTATATTTTCATGATAAAAATTAGCACTATGTAGAATCATACAGAGTTAAAAGTAAAATTTTTTTCTCTAGCCTCCTTCCCCTTCTCTTGCTCCTACTTTCCAGAGGTGATATCTGTGTAACTGTTTTGTGAGTGAAGGGTACATACCTGTTACTCTATATTTCATAGTAAATTTATGTATCTATAAATGTATTCACTCCAGTGCACAGCACTATTTCTGCTACCAAAATATTTTCTTGTCAGTGGCTTTGTATTCTTGTCTATAATTAATTAAAAGATTATTGTCTTTTTTTCCTCAAAATATTTTAAAGG